TCAAAATGGGAAGAAACAGTTGGATGAGTGATTAATCCATTCCTATCCTATCAGTATATGCTAATAACCACCTTATGACCTTTCGATACGACCTTTGGATGGGCATTGATCATCATTTGTACTTTAGACGACAGAACTGTATATTATCATTTGAATGTTGTGTGATGTTAAACCTATTTAAAGTATCGTTTTCTTAACAAGCATTTGCATGCACATATGCTATCTGTTTGATTTAAACTGGAACCACAGTCAATGCCTAACAAGCTCTCCTATTGGTACTTCTCTTTAAAACTTGTAGGTGGACATAAATAATCATTTAGACATTAGAGGAAGGACTAGACATCTTTTGGATATCAGAGAACTAACTTAACATCATCATTTGGACATTAAAGAACATATTGTATATCATCATTTGAACATTAGAGGACAGACTAGATATCCTAATTCGGACGTTATAAAACAGACTGTATCACCATTTGGTCATTATATGATGTTATACACTACCGATTTGTAAATAAATCTTTTAAGAACTGGCGTTTCCTGACTAATGCAAACTGGCCGCTCGAAAATGAGCGAATTCCCTTTTATAAATACTTGCTCGTAGACCGGTCAGTGGACATACAACGTCATGCCAGAGGACTGCACAGCCAGCATCATTTGGACATTGAAGCATTTACACCTATTTATAATACCATATTCACAGTAAGCCATTAGGTGCTCAAATAGCTTCTGATTAATTTCAACTGGAACCACTGTCAAGGCGTAATAAGCTCTCCCAATGGTATTTGCTCGTCAAAACCTCTTGGTGGACACAAATAATCATTTAAGCATTAAACGATAGATTAAATATCATCATTTCCCCGTTAGAGGATATAATAGATATCATAATTTGGACGTTAGAGGATATACTAAATATTATCATTTGGACGTTAGAAGGCATACTAGATATTATCATTTGGCCGTTGTATGAGGTTACATCTATCTGCAGTATCGTTTTCGTAGCAATTCGTTTCATGCACATGCGCTTTCTGATTGTTTTAAACTGGAACGTCATTGCGTAAAAAGCTCTCCTATTAATACTTGTTCGTTAAAACATGTCGGTCAACATAAATAATCATTTGGACGTCAGATGATAGACTAGATATCATCATTTGGATGTTGTAGTACAGCAGTATAGTTTTCCAATCAAGTTGTTGCATGTACATGCGCTTTCTGATTGATTTAAAATGCAACCACGGTCAATGCGTAAAAAGCTCTCCAATTAATACTTGGTCATTAAAACACATCGGTGACCATAAATAATGCTTTGGACCATAGAGGAAAGACTAGATATCATTTGGATGTTTGAGAATACACGACACAAACTGTTGTATAGATGTAACTAAATTATTATGTTAGTGCATATTCGTGTAATTATTAAATATATATAAATAACAAATACGATAAATGATCATTAATATGTAAAGTGTAATTTTTCAAAATCATTGCTTAAATATGAAATAATTAAGGGATTTATTAATCAATATAGTTATCACCTACACTTTTTTTTATCATAATTATAAAAGCATGTTTGTTTGAAGAAATGAGAAATAAATATATATATATATATATATATTTTTGCTTAATAAATTTTATACCTAGTTTTTTTTTTTTTCTGTTTTATCATTTTATAAATTTAGTTTGTTCTCCTCTGTGGAATACATGAATATTAATAAAACATATGAATTATTACACACATTATATTAAAATTTTTATGCATAGATAATAAATATAATACGTTCATTTATGAGTTTTAAAAAGGTACAAAATAAATTAGTTAAAGAAAACTATAACAGCATGCTCACAAAACAATAAAAAATTCATTTTTGATTCCATATAAATATCGTCTTTGAATAAGAGTAACGATAAACTTGTCTTAAAAATCGTAAAGCATATACTGCATTATAAAAATGCAAGAATAAAAAAACAGAAACACACCTAATTTAATTGCTAAAAATATCGATGGATATTTAATTTAATTTAATGACGTACTAAAAATATTTCCATAAGGAAAAACAGCCTTTAAAGAAGAGAATTTATAATTTAAACAATTTCATTAAAAATTCCACACTGCGTGACGTCAGACGAGTGTGAAATGTGAAGCGACAGAAATAAAAAATTAATTGCGCATGCCTTAAAAAAGTTATTATCCCCACTTTTCCCTTCCTCTGAGTCTTCTGTGCTATCTTATTTATTTTTCCTCCAATCAAGACGCGCTTGGAAGAACCGTAGGAAAGATGTTTTTTTTCGAGTGACATATTTCCCCCTCTGTTCTCTGTTGATAAGGGAATTTCAGTAGGAGTAAAAAATGAAATACGATTTTAAAAACTGCTATCTTCACCTCTTGTTTTTCGTTATTGTTTAGACTGAACGCAGTGACATTGTTATAAAAAAATAAGCAAGAGATAAAAGTAAAATCTCATATTCAAATGAAGACGCATAATTTTATGAGTTGACGCATGTTAAATCATAAGGTGCTGTTACAAGACCGCTTTTAATGTTTTACGAGGAAGCATATTCTGTTTGTTTTTTTTTGTTTTTTTTTTCTGATTCGGTCTATAACAATGCCCAAGAACCCGCGTGGTCTCATGGAAGGTTTGGTTTGTTTTGTCGTTCTACGATCACCTCGTGCACACGAGGGCTAAACAGACAGATTTAAGTGGATTTCAAACCCCTACAAAACCCATGTCACAGCCGGGACTCGAACCCGAAGCCTGTGGTACAAATCACTAGCCACTCGGTCATCAGATCCAGGTATAATGGAAGGAGGGAAAGTGGAGGATGTTTCTATTAAGATGCAGTACCCGTAGGTAGAAGTTTGACTTGACTCCGTGTCGCTAATGGAGGGGCAGTGCCTTCTGGAAGGATCTTTAGGTGGAACGTATTTGCGTATCGTATGGAAAAAATGCCAGAAAACTCCCTCTAGTTAGACCGACTCAGGAAAGAATATGAGAGGAAACATCAACAAACGCCATCAAATCTTCTGGGTTTTTTTAAACAGTGTGTAACATTGCCGTCAGTTCATTAAACCTTCGCCCTAATGCTCACTAGCGTCGCGGGTTGCCACGTTCTGTTGTTTCTTATCCCACTTGGCCGGCCAAGCCCACGAGCCCATAGGTACTCATGATTGAAGGGGAAGGAAGCAGCTTCTGTTGTGAGGGAGCACCCGTAGGTAGAAGTCTGACTTTGGCTCCGCTCATACGCTCTTACGGTCATAGGAGACCAGGACCTACGGCTTAAAGTGGATTCCGAACCACTACAAACATCCATGGCACCGCCGGGATTCGAACCCGAAACCTGTGGCACCGAGCGTCAGAGCACGAGACACTCGGCCATTCAGGTCCCAAATGTGTGAGTGCCAACGGCACGCGGTATTCCCAGGTGGTCACCCACCCAAGTACTGACCGCGCCCGATGATGCTTGACTTCGGTGATCGAACGAGAACCGGTATATTCAGCATGGTATGGCCGTTGGCAATTCTTATAATCATAATAGTAAGTGTAAATCGAAGCATTTGTGTCAGTTGGTTTGGTTGTCGCTCTACCATGTTTTTGTGTGCACACTAGACCGGGACCTTCAGTTTAACATGGATTCCGAATCCCAAAGAAGCATCCATTTCACCGCCGGATTCAAACCTGAATGCCGTGGTACAAAGGTTCAGAGCACTAGCCGCTTAAAAAATCGTAAAGAATATACCGCATTATAAAAATGCTATAGAAAAAGCAGAAAACCCTAATTTGATTGCTAAAAAAAATCGATTCATATTTAATTTAATTTAATGACGTACTAAAAATATTTCCATAAGGAAAAACAACCTTTAAACAAGAACATTTATAATTTAAACATTTTCATTAAAAACTCCACATTGCGTGACGTCATACGAGTGTGAAATATGGAGCGACAGAAATAAAAAATTAATTGCGCATGCCTTAAAAAAGTTATTATCCCCACTTTTCCCTACCTCTGAGTTTTCTGCGCTATCTTATTTATTTTTTCCCCAATCAAGACGCGCCTGAAAGAACTGTAGGGGAAAGGTTCTTTTAGAGTGAAATATTTTCTCCTCTGTTCTCAGTTGATAAGGGAGTTTCAGCAGGAGTAAAAAATGAAATGCGATTTTAAAAACTGCTATTTTCATCGCCTGTTTATTCATAATTGTTTCGACTGAATGCCATGACACTGTTATAAAAGCATAACAAAAAAGAGATTAAAATAAAATCTTATATTCAAATGAAGAAGCATAATGTTATGAGGTCATGCATTTTAAGTAGTAAGATGTTGTTACAAGACCGCTTTCATTTTATAAGGAGGTTTATTTTGGTTTTAGTTATAAGCAACTTTTCGAGTATAAGAAATTTTTTCTTACTTAAAAGAAATGTTCCTAAAATCGTAATAGTAAACATGTGTAAGTGTAAAGAAAGGCATTTGTATAAGTTGGAATCATAATTTGTAAGATCTGCTAAAAGATTATTTTTCATTATCACATTCAATTTAATAATAGTATTTATGATCATCATCACCACACTGTCACATTCAATGCTGTGTTTATTCAGTTTTCAAAGCTTTGTCTTCCGTATACTGCGCAAAATGTCACGATGTCTTGAACACTTTCACCATCACTTGATTAAGAATCTTGGAAAGCAATTAAAGTAATGTTATAGAATTAAACTGCAATTAATTCTGAAAAGCAAAGTAAAGAAATGTTTGATGAAAATTTGTCAACTGAATTTAAAGATTTATCAAATGACTTATTGAAGAACTATTGTTTTTGTTTTTCCAATTTGAAAAAAAAAATAATAACAGTTCTTCGTGACATCAGTTCTTCAATAACAACAGTTCTTTAAGAGCAGTTCTTCAGTTCATCAATAACAGCAAATATTATAACAGTTCTATAGTTTTCTACAGTTATATAGTTATAATAAATAACAGTTTTTTATAGATATAACAGTTTTTTTTTTGCCAACTGCCATACCATGCTGAATATACCGGTTCTCGTTAGATCACCGAAGTCAAGCATCATTGGGCGCGGTCAGTACTTGGGTGGGTGACCACCTGGGAACACCGCGTGCCGTTGGCATTCACACATTTGGGACCTGAATGGCCGAGTGTCTAGCGCTCTGGCGCTCGTTGCCACAGGTTTCGGGTTCGAATCCCGGAAGTGCCATGGATGTTTGTAGGGGTTCGGAATCCACTTTAAGCTGTAGATCCCGGTCTCCTCTGACTGTAAGAGCGTCACGGAGACAAAGTCAGACTTCTACCTACGGGTGCTCCATCCCAACAGAAGCTGCTTCCTTCCCCTTCAATCATGAGTACTCGTATGGGCTCGTGGACTTGGCCTGCCAAGTGGGATAAGAAACAACAACATTTAGTTTTTTTAGTCATTTTGACCAAATCAATCAAAATTAGGCGTATATATAGAGAGATAGCCATAGAATATGACACCCACCACAATGCTGCTTAAATATCTCAAAATTGTCACGTGAATATTTTCATCCTTCCGTCCTTCCTTGGTTCATATTGAATCTTAAATGAAACTATATTTTTAGTGACACTTGTTATATTTTTTTTAATCTTTTTTTTCTTCTTTCTAATGCAGCTGGCAAACACAGACAGCTTAGTCTTAAATGCCTTAAGGCAAGTGCTGCACAGGCATACTGACTTTTCATTACCCAGGGTGCGCGTGTCACTTGAAGATAAGCCACGGACGCGGAGTCACAATGTCCCTGCAACGCTCTACGATCCTGTTAGACCGGGACCTACTTTTTAAAGTGGATTCCGAACCCTTGCAAACAACCATGGCACCACCGTACTCGAACCCGAAGCCTGTGGTACCGAGCGCCAGAGCGCTAGCCACTCAGCCATTCAGGCCCTTTTTTAATCTTGTTCGTAATGAAAAAACGTTGATGCATTTTGTCTGATATAAAACGATTCAGAGTTATCCAGGGAACACCATAGAGGAGTTTAATGCACTACACCCACAATATGCCACAATTCTAAACATCTTCATGATGGCGCTTTTTCTCCCTAAAACTTATTCGCAAATGTTACAAAATATCTAGAAATCTTAAGCAGAATATTATATTGTTACTCAGTTTATGCTAATTTATTTGTATTCATATGCTTTTTGTAGTTGTCTGATTGAAGAAATCGGTGCCTTTTTAATCATAAAACTCACTAACAAATGTTTTTAAAATATCCTGAAATCAATCAGAAATTTGGAGCTAATATCTATAAATTTCTTCAACGGAGGAATTAAAAATCTAAAACAAAGTTATAATTTATTAATATGTTTGTTGTTTCTTATCCCACTTGGCTGGCCAAGCCCACGAGCCCATACGTACTCATGGTTGAAGGGGAAGGAAGCAGCTTCTGTTGTGATGGAGCACCCGTAGGTAGAAGTCTGACTTTGGCTCCGTGACACTCTTACAGTCATAGTAGACCGGGACCTACGGCTTAAAGTGGATTCCGAACCACTACACACATCCATGGCACCGCCGGGATTCGAACCCGAAACCTGTGGCACCGAGCGCTAGACACTCGGCCATTCAGGTCCCAAATGTGTGGATGCCAACGGCACGCGGTGTTCCCAGGTGGTCACCCACCCAAGTACTGACCGCGCCCAATGATGCTTGACTTCGGTGATCTAACGAGAACCGGTATATTCAGCATGGTACGGCCGTTGGCTTTTATTAATATTTATTTTATAATGTATAATTTTTATCATATGCTTTTGTAGATATCTGATGTAAGAAACGAATAAAAATGAAAACAAAAACATTGTTTTAATATTTATAAATTTCTAAAAACGAGTTCTTCAAGACTTGAAAAATAATGTTATTTTATTGATTCTCTGTATTCTTTCTATCCTTTTCTTGTCCTGTTGATGTCTGTTAACAAAATCGGCGGCACATTTTTAACCACCCAAAACGGGGCTGACAAAGGTATAAAAAATATCCCTAAATCAGCGACAAAAATAATGCAGAAACAACCTATCAGCAAGTAGTAGAAAGGGGAAAAATAAAGGGATAAAAAAAATGTTCACTGGAAAAGACAGGCAGCGAATCGTGCCGTGATTGCTCAAAGGAAAATCCTACTGAATTCCTATTAGACAAGTTCAGCCGAAAGCCCAGAAGAGAAATCCCTCTGGGGGAAAACAAGGACCTTTTTCAGGCCGAAAGACGGGGGGAGTTTTAAATGTATTGATGCGAAGAGAGGCCGTTATACTTTCTTTCTTACTTTTTATTTCTTCATATTTTTAATCTCAAAATTCTAATATATCTCTCTTATCTTCATCCAGTATTAGCTTATGCAAGCCCAGTTTGGGGTTCTGTCGCACGTACAAATTTTGAAATTATTCAAAGGCTTGAGAACAAAACTCTCAGAATGTTAACGAATTCACCCTGATACTTTCGTAATGACGATATTAGACGAGCTCTCTCGATTCCAAGTTTAAGGCAATTTGTTCACAAAATTTCTACTCAATTCTATAATGATATGCGAAACATTAATAACCCTGTTTTAAATATCCTACAAAATGACGATTATGATATTTCTTCCCGCAAACATAGCAAAAGACCTCGCACTGTTCTAAATATTTTAAATTAATTCCTTACAACTGCCTAGAGGAAAAAATTTCGCTTTTCTCCTAATTTGACCTTTGTCCATTCGGGGTTATTACATGCAACTGATTCCATCAACATCTACATTTTTGAAATTTTTGATATTTTTCATTTTATAATTTTACTAAATAAATATTTCTCTTTTAAAAAAAAAAGGGCATTTAATTATCTATTTTTCTTATTAACTCAAAGGGCATGAGACCACCGCTATGTTTCAACATTTTACAAAGAAGGAGCTAGTGGCCGCTACGCGGCCAAGGATCTCCGTAATAATCTACAATAAGTTATAAGTTCTTCATATGTACTTTTAACTTCAACCGGGAAGGAACTCATAAATAACTTGACTTCTGCTCTCCAAGATATGGACTGAGACTGTTGTGTTTGTTGAATCTATTGTGCGGATGTAATGCGTTCCTTTAAAAAAAAGCGTTGATAAGGAAGGAATAGACTGAAAGGATATCTGCTGAAGGGTCCTCCAAAGTTCAAAAGTTTTCATCCATAATCCGCATACTTGTAATTGTATGTTTATGTGTATTTTGTGTAACTGTATTTCATTATGTGTAAACCCTTTACTTCTTTATGTTATTGTTCTAATCCCTTAAAATTTTTATTTTTAGCTTTAATCTTTTTATTTTTGGACATCGTCAACGGACTCTTAATTGTACCTATAGCTTTAGCTTTTTTCGATCTCTTGCTTTAATTGTTCTCAAGCAAGAGATGTTTTTCCTAAATTCATTTTTGTTTTATTTAACATTATTAACATTCTATAATTTAAGCAACTTCATTTTATGCAAATTTTCTAATTAACTTAAGATGTGGAGGTATTGCGGTTCTTAAAACCACCTAGGAATTCCGTAACAGGTACGCCCGTTGCCCTCCGCATACTTATTAAAACAAAATAAATAGTGCGTTTTATGTGTATCCAAGAAATGAAAACGCTTTAGTTTCTACATTCTAAAGTGGTATAATAAAAAGATTTTCTACTTTGAAAAAAAAATTCAAAGTTCTTGAGTTGATTTTAGGTTTCTAATGTATTGATGCGAAGAAAGGCCGATAGATTTCTTTCTTTTTCTTAATATTTATTTTTAACTTCAACTCATAAACAATTTGACTCCGGCTCTCCAAGATATGGATGCGTTTCTACTGAGACTGTTGTGTTTGTTGAATCTATTGTAATGGATGCTTACCCGGTGAAATGCATTTCTTCACAAAAAAGGGTTTGATAAGGAAGGAATAAACTGAATGCATATCTACGAAAGGGTCCTGCAAAGTTCAAAAGTTTTCATCCCTAATCCGCACACTTATTTAAACAAAATAAATAATGCATTTTATTTGTATCCAAGAAATCAAAACTCATTTGTTTCAATATTCTAAAGGGGAATAAATAAAAAGTTTTTCTGCTTTGAAAAAAAATTCAAAGTGTGTCACTCAAGTTTTAAAAATAAGTTTATCAGCTTGAGTCTATTTTAGGTTTTTATTTTTTAAAATGTTAATTACATTCTATATATAATATAATCTTGTATAAAATCTTTGCGATAATCTTGTATAAAATCTTTGCGATAATCTTGTATAAAATCTTTGATATAATCTTGTATAAAATCTGTGATATGTTTACATTTTATTCTTATGTAGAAAGAAACAAATTAGGTTTCAGATTTGTTAACTAATCGTTTAAAATATTATCCCATACATTATTAGACTGCATCCTTACTCAATGTTACTTGTGCGGCCTGATGGCCAATGGGCTAGTGCTCTGCCCTTTGGTGCTTCAAGTTCGATTCCTGGCAGTGTCATGGATGGTGTTGTAGGTGTCGCGAATCCGCGTTAAATTGTAGGTCCCGTTCTATGTAGCCAACGTGGGTACAAAATGACCGTAAAGCAACAAACCAAACCAACATTACTAGGGTATTTAATTTCCATATATTTTGTCAAACAAGACATGAGTATGTATAGTAAAATATTGCTTGATATGCAAAATTTCCTGCCTTCGGTGCCACAGATTTTGGTGCGAGTCCCAGCAATTCCATAGACGTGTGTATTAGTTTGGAATCCACTTTTAATCTGTCTCAGGTCTCGTAAGTATGTAGAGCGTCACGGAGCCAAGTCAGACTTCTACCTACGGATGCTTCATCACATCAGAAGCTGTCCCTTTTTCTTTTCAGCCATTAACCAATACGAGTTCGTGGGCTTGGTCTAGATGTCTACCAACTGGGTTGAGAAACAACAACAAAAAGAAAAACGTCACATGTGTATAAATCTGCCATTAGGCCGACGGCCTTGGCCCACCATGTGGCCGTAACGCCAGTGAAGAAAATTACAAAATATTACTTGGCCACTGCCCTTACGTGGTCTAGGCAGGCATGGTTAAAACAATGAAGTTGAAAAACTTTTAGAGAATCTAATAAAAATAGTGAAATGATACTGTCATACTGAGCGATTCCAAAATAATTATAA